AAAAGAAAGTTGGCCATGGTTTTGTGGAGGATTAAAGAAACGTTGTTGGGAAGTACGTCGGTAGCTAAGGTGTGAATAGGAATGGATGTAAGAACATGTCGATTGAGAATGAGTCTCCCCCTTGGGATAAGTTTTTTTAAACCAAGGGCACAATTTTGCTTGGAAGTAGTGAATGAGTTTCTTCCAATAACTAAGTCTGTTGATGCCTTGATGCAGGTTGGCCCCGAGGTAGAGGAGAGGAAGGGATCCTTTTTGCATTTTCAGTAAAGATTCAGTTACAAGGATTCTACCAGGTGAGGAGGAGCCCAGAATGAAAGTGCTTTTGGAGAAGTTAATGGCCTGGCCGCAGGCAGCCTGGTAGGAAAGCAAGAAGGTCTTGAAGGGTGATAGAGAACTTGCACTCCCATTAATGAAGATGAGTAGGTCGTCGGCAAAGGCAAGGTGTGTGAGAATAGGTGCTCCCCTGACTGTCCAGTACGGCTTGATAGAGCCGTGTTCTACTTGGTGTTTCAGTCCCCTGGAAAAAGCTTCGGAGGCGGTGATGTAAAGAAAAGGAGAAAGAGGGTCCCCTGCTTAACTCCTCTATGGGGTTGAAAGAAACCAAAAGGGCTCCCATTGATAAGGATAGAAATGAAGGTGGCTTTAAGATTGTTGAGGATGAGGTTTGTGAAAGGGCATGAGAAACCGAATTTAAGCATAACTAGCTTTAGGAAATCCCAGGACAGGAGATCGAAGGCTTTGGTCATGTCTAACTTAATCAAAATATTGGAGCCTCTGACCTGCTTTTTGATAGAGTGAACCATTTCTTTTGCTAACAAGATGTGGTCCGAAATTTCCTTGTTTCTCATGAAACCCCCTTGTTCTTCGGAGATAATCTTAGGAAGAATAAGAGAGAGCCTGTCAGAGAGTATCCTTGTACACACTTTGCTAAAGAATGTGGAGAGGCTGATTGGTCTGAAGTCTGAAAAAGATTCGGGGTCAACTTTCTTAGGTAAGGGGATTATGAGTGTGCTAGACATTGCTTTTGGGATGTGGTTACCCAAAAAGAAATCTTGACATTTATTAAATGGGTGACATTTGCATATTCAAAAACACGGAGAGTACATTTTAATGTGGATACTATTTGTGTTGGACATTTATTTCCTATAAAATTGGAATTTTCAATCGACATTTTCCCGTGAAACTTTAGAGACACGATTATTCGTGTGATTTTTGTAAAAAAAAAGTACTATGTATTATTCTTTGTACAATATTTGAAGTTATAACCCTAACCATATCAAAATTTATGGTGAGGACTAATTCACAACAACACGAAGAATTGGGGAGTGATATTTACAAACTCAAAGACACATTTCAATGGAGGTACTATTTGAGAAATTGAAAGTGCAATTTCTCCTAGTCAATCATTTTGATATTTTTTTATATTACCATGTATTAAATTGTATTGGATATGTGGTATAAGGAGAAGTGTAACTCGAAATCATTTAAAAGAATTTACATATTATATATGTTCAAACATGAAGGGGGAATCACAATATACATGTTAAAATCATAGCAATAGTGTCACTTATTTTTCTATAAAAGTGTTGCTAGTTTTAAAAAAGTGTTAAATAATATAGATTTGATGTTGCAAAAGGGCAAAATAAATAAGTTACATTATATAAGAATGAAACCTAAAGTAACGTCCGCAAACGCGTTATTTTAGCCTTTTTGTAACAAATAAACTATCTAATGCAGCACATTATTAGAGGTATTGCAAATGGTCTATATTGTTGTAGTGATATATTATGAAGTTAAGGGAAATAATAACTTTAGTTGTAAACATATATTGTTTTGTCAAGTTTGCATGTGAGTAAAGTTAGAGGGCAGAATAGAAAGCTATGCGAAAAATTTGAAATTCTTATAACTTTATATGACGTTACATATTATTTTGAATGTAAATTCACTCAAACAAATAACATATTTTTGACATATCTAAAAACATTATAATTGTGAATGTGAGTTAGTATCCATGAATTATGTCCATCTATTATAAGCATATGAGGTTGTACACTTTTATTAAATGATTGTACTCAGGGATGGATTTAGGAGGGGGCGCGGGGGGGGCGACCGCCCCCCTTGAAATTTCAAAATTTTCTACCATATATGTAATATTTTCATAAAACTTTCATAATTTAATTAGATTCGCCCCCCTTAGCTTTTAATTTTCAAAATTAATATATAGTGTTACATAATGTAATACTTAATTGAAGATTTAAAAGAAGGAACATCTAAAATAATTACATAACTTAAACAAATAAACAATAGAATAACTCGTTGTTTAAGATTTAGGATACTTATTATATAAGAATTCCTAGTTTTGTAATGTTTAATTATCTTTATTAGATAACAAGTACTTGATTTTGTAAAATATATATCAAACAATATTAAATATCAGACACACTAATTACACAGTTTTTAGATCACGTGAAATGAATCCAAAATATAAATGTTTATTGACATTAAATTACATAATTCATTTACTTCTTGCTTTCTAAAAATAATTTATTGCATAGATAATAAACTTTAAATTAGTATAGCATTAATACAAATATTAAAATATAATATGCACCATATATGTGTGTGTATGTGGTGCATATTATTCTAAAAATAATATATCATACATACTACTATTGTAATATTAAGAAAACTTCTCATGAGTCATGACTCACGAACACCATCCTTGGTGGCCGGACAAAAGTTACAATTCAATAATAACCGATTCATGAGGTTAAACAATGTAGAAGTTATTAAAAATGTATTGGTTGATGTCTTTGTCATCGTCTAATTTAAACTTAGAATGTACTACTTAATAGATTTAAATGTCGTTGGGGATGTGTATGTATTAATGTCATTTTTTGAATAAAATTAGCCGCATAGCCCTACAGTAGCGGAAAAAAATCGCCCCGCTACACTAGGGATAAAAAATTCGCCCCACTGCACTAACGAAATTTTTTTCACCTCCTACACTACCGAAAAATTTCGCCTCCCTTGAATAGAAATCCTGGATCCGTCCCTTGTACTTATTTTTTCAATGGGTTTTAAATACCCCTCCTCCGTTGACTTTAAGAAGCGCCGTTTAATTCGTGGGTAGAGTTAAACAATGTCTAAGAGCATCTCCAATAGGAGATTGTTCACGTTAAAAAAATGGGCCACATCATCCTTATTTAACATTGGAGTAAAAAGCTTGTCTCCAATGGAGGATGTAAACGTGTTTGTTATGGTGATATGTCAAAAAATAATTTTGACATTGTAAACATCATTGTCTTCCTATGACAGTGCCCTCAACATGCTGCATCAGCAAAAAACGAAGCCAAAACCCGCAATTCTCCCACCCATTATCCACGCACATATACTCCTGGCGGTTACACAAATGAATTTTAATTAAAAGAAAATCCACTTGTACAAAACTGCTAGACATCAATGGAATGCATTGTGGAACATTTGGCTCAACATTCCATACATCTCGGCTGGGTTTTAAGTTAGGCTTTGACATTCATTCTACCTGGCTAAGCATTCCATACATATATCGTCATGTGTCACAATATTTTTAATGTTGAAAGCCTCCCATTAGAGATGCTCTCATAGGACGGTGATGTTAACACTGTTTTCGTTAATTAAGAACATGTCAGCATTACATTGCCGATAACATACCGCATTGGAGATAAATATATAACAGAAACGTTAGACTGTGGTGACGAGGCTATTTTTTCTAATGTCAACAGTCACCCATTGGTGATGCTCTAATATAACTCGTCTGCAACGATCATTCATAAACAGGAGGTAAAGTTTATTGAATTATTGATGAGCAATTAATATTTAGTCCTTTCACGTTAAAAAAAATAGTCCTTCAATGTCATTTAAATATTTTTTATTCTTATTGTCGTGATTTTGTTTTTGAGAGTTGTAGTGATTTACGTAATCCAATTCTCCAATTCCAAAATCAAATTATCTACATGTATTTGAAAGGTTGACTAAACATAAAGCAATACTCCCTATAACACACATACATGTTTTTAGAAAATGGGAACTTCTCAAGCTCGTTGGTAACACTAAAATTTGTTGAAACGAACGACCCTGCTAAAATTTATGAAGTTCTTTTTTTGTTTAGGAATAAAAATTTATGAAGTTCTAGCTAAAGTGGTTGGATTGCCATATTTTGTTGATTTAAAAAAAAATTATATTTTTTAAAAATATTTTATGAGTAAAATAAAGAAACAAAATATGAGAAATAGCTAAAATAGTCATTTACTATATTAACTTCAACCAATTCAACCATAAAAGAAATTTCTACTTAACTTATTCTGAATTTGACATAATTCAACGCGCGAAATAAAAAATTATGTGTATGATGAAAAATTGACTGATAAGGGTGATAAGCCAAAAAATAAGATCACCAAATGAGCTCTTTATGTTTGAGCAAAGTGTCACATTGTTAGTAGCTTATAATTATCTAATTTTCCACTACATAATTATGTGCTCGTTCTAATTTACTTGATGAGAATTATTATTCTTTTACACCTTTATGTGTTTGCTTTCATAATCCTCCTACTAGATAATTATAGTGCATTATTTTTTATATGCTTCTTTTTCGAAGTATCATTAATCTTATGTGATTAATGCTTTTATAAGCATTTCATTTAGTCTCTCATGCTTTGCTTTTGAGTCAACAAAGAAGTCAATTTCTTAATTAAACATGAACCTATTATTGAGTCATATATCAAGTATAATCAAAATGTTTTTAATCTTACAGTATTATTTTGAGAATGTTTTTAAATTTAGTTTCTTGAAGTGTGAAATTTAATCTTACATAGTAATGTGGCCAATACACGAGGGGGACACAGTTATTAAGAAAAGTGACTTTATGTGATTGATATTCAATTGATAAAGTAAGAATAAAGTAAAAATGATTGATAGCTACACAAATTTTATCAAATTTGGTATGAGACAATTTTAGTGGATTTTTTCAAAAAAGAAAAATGAGACAATCTTAGCAGCACAGAAGGAGTATATAATAAATTACATTAAAAAAACTACTCTGGCTACAATTGTTTCATGCCCTACGCTCATCAAAATCTCATACATAATAGGACTTTTCTTACATTAGTAGAGTAGCTACATATTGGAGGAAATTTTACTTTAGCATTGGGCATATGATATCGCGCCTTGCGCGAGCAATCGCTAGTCATTTCATAATTAGAATGCATATTTTACAACTCCCGGAATGTGCGTATTGATGAAATAGTCCTCCCATTGGATACAACTGGGGTCGAAGTTTACAACATCTGTCATGCTAGTTTGTGTTGTAGTCATTCTCAATCGTTTTGTGTTGGTGTCATCAAAACTGCAACATAGAATATATGTATTATAACATATTTACATGGGAGAGAAAATGAGCTATATAAAAAAATGAATTAACATTATACTATGAGACTCGAAGACCGACCAAACAGTTTGTTGATGTTTAATATTGAGCATCGATCTAAAGTACCTTGCTTAAAATACCATTCATTTATATAGATTTTATATATAAAAAATATACACCCTGCTTCCTATTAGAACTTGCCTACTTTTCATTTGTGAGCGTCCCAAAATCATTCCTTTTAAAATAAATAATTTGGCTGTGCTTGTGTGGTTCTTATTTCACTCTCTTATGCACAAATTTAATCACATAACTTTTAATTTCTTATTTCACATACAGGTCAAAACTTGCAATCATGAGAGGGAGTATCAATCAATAGAGGCGCTACGGGCTTGCCCCCACTTCGGGCCAAAAAAATTAGTACTACTACTTATTATATATTTAATGCCCCCATATATTGAGGGTTGAGCTTTTATATGTTTGTTGCTTCCCTATTACTTCTTTTATTTTCCTTCTTTCGTCTTGTACCATTCACTATCCTCTTTCCTTTAATAAAATGTTTTCTTTCTTAAAAAAAATGCCCCCCTTCTTTTAAAAAAAATACTATGTAAAGTCAATTTTAGATGAAGTGTTAAAATAAGAGGCAAAATATTTTCAGGACGTGTGTCTCTAGAAATACAAGTACCGGCGACAACATACCACACTCATTTTAATGCAAGTGCATGTGGATTGTTTTATACCTTTAATGACACAAGAACTGGCTTTTCGTGATTATAGAGAGCAAGAAAGTATTGAGATTGACAAATATGTTATAAAATTGTTCTTATCAAAACCCTTGAACTAAGTGTGCGCCAAAAGTGGCCATCCCTATTTACGCTCATAATAGCATTGCTACATTTGGATCCCCTCGTATCCATTTTCAAGGTCCTAGGTATCATAACGTATTATTTGAGTTACCATAGTTTCTATGATTAGTGACCATAAATGTAACTGTAGTGACTACAATTATCTTCAAGTGAACCTTGCATTACTTATGCCAGCATATATATTCATAGCTTCTTTAAGCACGTTATTATCTATAAGTTCAATTTGAATAAAATATTCATAGAAAATACCTTAAGAAAACTCAATATTTCAATTAAAAACATGTATCCTTGTCACTTAAACAATGTTGTGGTGTGAGTCCAAATATAACTAATGCATAAATATAATAACAAAAATAAACTTATATAACATTATATTGTAGTTTTTGTTAAGAAAAGTTGTTATATAGCTGCACGAGTGATATGTACTCCATTTATTTCAAATAATTAATTGATAATTTATTGACCATATCACCATATGAGTATCTACTAGTCAACGTGCATCCCATTATTTGGTTTTCGATCATCAAGCACTCCATTTTCAAAATCACAGAATGTGTAAGACCACAAATTTGGTATTGTAAGGTTAGGAAACATTTTTGTCCTAAAATTTTAGCCACACTCACATGTGTCATTTACTTGTTGGATGTTTAACCGCTATCTACCTTTTCAACATCATAATATAAATCACACATATGAATCTAGCTAGTAAATGTAGAGGAAAAAGTATGCCTAGATCGTAGTATTTTAAATAAAAAGATGTTACCATACAATACATACACTTAAATAAATATACATACCTTCCATGAAAGAACAAGTATGGCTTGTAGAGCTCAGCAATCCGAATCACAAAACTTATATTTCTCTCAACAGTCGCACATTTTTCGTCAAAGTATTGAAAAAGTATCGCGTTCAACAACTTTAATACCTAAAGTGTTTCAATGATAAATGAAAAAAAATTAGGTCAACCACGAATAATTTATCATTATCATGTGGTGCATATATATATATGTGTGTGTGTGAGAGAGATATTCTACGTTATACCAAATTTAAATTTAAATTCCCATAATAACAATCAAAGGCATTGAAAAAGATACATGACCAATAGATCGAAATAATAGTTGATGTTCCCAATTTTTAATAGGATTAAGAATCAGATATGTTTATTCGAATGAACATAAAGTCACGAAATATGTGTGTTAAGCTATCTCACAGTCACGAAATGAAAAAAATAAATTGACATATAAGGTCATTATTCAATTCTTTTATCTTAATATTATGGATTATTAATTAATTACATAACTATAAAACAATCTTAAAGAATGTATTACACACATGCTCTGAGTCAAAACAATTTTGGTTGTGGGTAGTGGAAAGAAAAGTGGTAGAAATTTTGAAATGGGATATCACACATATCTAAGACAGTTTATTTATTTATTCAATGATAATGAAGGGAATATATTGAGCAAGACTTCAAGTTAGATCAAATTAATAAAATCCCATTAAAATGTTCATAAAAATGAATGTCCGATTATCATTGAAAAGACTCGTAACTACAAGAAGAGAAAGATGATGTGTCCTATGCGTGAGAGGGCTAGGATTCTAATAAAGTAGGACTGCGATTTGATTAGTCTCTCTAGGATTCTAATAAAGTAGGATTGCGATTTGAATTGCTCTAAATATGAAACTTAACAGGTTAAGAATACTAAAAGACTATCAAAGAATGCGAAAAGAAAAACACAAACGGGACTCTATAATTAGCTTTGTCTGACAAGCTTTATATATATGTATAAAAAAAATCAGATCCTTATGGGTTTTCCCTATACAGAATAAGTGAATAATCAATATGAATCAAGAAATTTCTTTCATGCAAGGAAACATGAAAACTAAAAACTAGAAATCTGAAGGACGACATTTACTTTGATTTTTAATTAGAGGAGTAGTATTACAAATATTTCACAATATAGCTACTATTATATTATAAGATAAGTTTAACTATTTCACAGATAATTCTAGGTGGTATGTACCTTTAACATTGGGAGATAACGAAAGGAAATGTATCTTTGCAACTCATTCAAACTAGTAAGCAGCATGGGCTTGCCTACTTTGACAAGGCTCCCACTCTTGGTTGACCAGGGATTGTCCGTAAAATAGCGAAATAAATAACTCCCGAGGTCCAATATTGTCAAAGGATTGGTAGATGAGGAGCCAACATGATATATCAACTCGTCATCGTTATATGTATTATGACTGTCACTTCCATGATGCATAACTGCCGCAAGTATTGAACTCACCACCATGTCTCCAGGAATCTGCATGCAATACATATTTATCATTTATATGTGAAGTTAGAGTTCATTGAACTAAAATTAATAATCAGTCGAACAGAGTAGTGGTTTTATGGTGGGATAATTCAAACCATTTGAGCTTCTCAATTAAATTCATATTTTGTAGCTAGATTTCTCAAGTTCACAGAATATACATGATCCTTTTGGGCAATTTAACGTCAAACAGATCACTATTACTCTACGAATTGTGTAGTAATTGTTATCTTTGCTAACTGTTCATTTTTTTTTTTCTCAAATGAGCATATTTTAGTCAATTTGTAATTAGACCCAACTTCAAGAAATTTCATTCAATCTAAATAACTGCAATTAATTTTCACATTACCTTTCAGCTTTAACTACTTGATGTTTTTAAAAACTTTGGGCTACGTCGTCAGAAATGAAATATATATATTTATGATCAAATTCAAAATGTAACGGCCTTAAGTATTGAGTATTTATATAGATACCGCGTCGAGTATTGAGTCCGGATCACCCATCATGAAGTTTGATCTTCCTTTGCCATACATCAATACAAAGATGTCCATGGTTCTGCCATTTTTATAAAAAAAAGGAAAACAAAATAGTGGGGATGTGAAAAACATTAATATATATAATTCATACATTATTTCCATATGAGAAATAAACGAGTGATATGGAGGTCAAGAATTTACAGTTACTGACCTTGCACCTTCAATCCATCCAGGAAAAGGTTCTTTGTAAGTGCTTGTAATAATTGTAGGGCGTAACATTATCACACATAGATTCTCCTTAAACTTTAATAACAACATTTCTCCCATTGCTTTTGTGAATGAATATGTGTTTGGCCATCCATGAAGTTTTGCCCTATATATATTGCCACAAATGATTTGAATTGTCATCATTAAGTAACTGTAGCTAGCTACAATTACTAAAAAATAAAAGGAAGAAAAATTAAACTAAAAAAAAATTTGGATCAAATTGTCACGTACCTTTGGATGCCCAAAATTTTCATGGCTGTTCTGACTTGTTTTTCCGTTGCGTTTTGGGCTCGAAGCTCCATTAATTTATCTTCTATTACCTTTTTCTCTTCATCAATGTCTAAATAAGTATCCCCATTAAGTGTTTCACCGAGATGGAATGGCCTTTCCGGTATTATTCCAATTTTGTCACCGCAAACATAAGCTGCAAACAAACCATACATTGTTGTGCATTACATTAGATAGCAAGTGAGGATCAAATGAAATGAAATAACCTTAGCTTGATTTCCCATATATATTACGTACTTTTACAATTATGAACAATACAATTTAGCTTTTTAGTTTTTCTTGCTTTGTTGTGTTTGTGCATGTGGATCTGCTTTGTCTTTGTTGTCATTATATATACTTGTATAATATATTGGAAAGCTCAAATGAATAAGTGCCTTCCTATGAAAAATCACTTGAAATTGATGCATGTAATAGATGATTTTAAATCAAAAAATAAGTAGTGAAACTGTAATTGTGTGAAACTTCATTGTGCAAATTTTTGAGATTCTTGTATACTTTTGTAATACGGAGTATAAATATATACATTTTTTTATCTTCCATGCACTTTTGTCGGTGTACATGTCGTCTCATTTCAAGTTATTGATATTTGCACTAGCTCATCACTCTTCTGAACTAAAAGTTTAATCTAATCCATACATTCGTAAGTTTGTACAAGTGAGGAAAATTAGTTCCTATTTTCTGCTAAGAACGGCCTTTATTTAAAACAAATTATATATGTAGAGATGTGTGTACATAGTGCTTAACAATAAATGAAGTACATATTCAATTATACAAATTAAACCTACCCGTGGATACATGAACAATCATCTTAAGATTATGGCATTTCTTGGCGAAATTCAAAACATTTGTTGCGCCCATTGTATTTATACTCATTGCAACATCATACCTACAATTAGATAAACAAATCAATGCAAACAATATAATGATATGATTATAATAATATTATTTCACTCACTCTTTTATGTCCAGTTTAGTTTTTTTGTCTAACATTCATAGTCGTTCGTCTTTCTTGTCAGGTAGATGATCAGTTGATCGATACGTAGTATGAAATTATGAATAATGAAATTACACGCACGCTCTTTCCGAAAATTTTTATACATGATAGCAATGTACATAGTTATGATATAGGCAATTAGATCCTTCGAGTACATATTAAATCAGTAGCGTACCTCTCATCAAACACGGTGGTTGCAGCGGAGTTAATAATAATGTCTAATTTTCCAAGGAGCTGCTCCGCATTTTCAATTCCCAAATCCTTGAAGGAAATATCACCCGCCACCGGGGACACCTTCTCCTCCACAAGGGCCTTAAACTTTTCACCGTATTGTTCTTTCACCACTCTGAATAATTCACTGTCCATAACCTGAAATTTGATCAAGTCTTTGATTATCATTGATATACGAAGTATATTGAAATAAAACCATTTAGTTTAATTAGAGAGCACGTGAAAGTGGTTGGCTACCGATTTGAAGTAGCAACAAGTAAATTTAAAATTATCATAAAAACATGTGCTAGTCGAAAGAGGATACATAAAATCTGAAAGTAACATAAGATACCGAAAATTTAAAAGACTGATGGACTGAAACGCTAGCTAATTATATGTACGTAGATTACATACCTCAGTATTAAATCTTTTGATAGCAGAGACAGAATCATTGGCTCTGATGAGAAGGTAGAGTTTTTTTATGTCGGGCTGAGTGCGAAGTATCTTCTCTACTAGCACTGCAATTATATTAATGATATTATTATATGTTGACAGAATTGAAAATGCATGCTGCATTTATTGAATGAATATAAGGATGTTTTAACATTTTCTGGTCTGATTTGCACTGATCTGGTTTTGTTAATGTCTAATATCTTTCTATTTAATATATGGTAGATTCTATGGTACCCCAAATGTATCGTACCTTTGTCCAAATGGACCAATAAGAATGATGCAGTTGAATTATTTAAATCTAAATTAAAAAGCATATATTGATTTGGACCAATCAAATGCATGATAGGTACGGCACCCCATTTTTTAAATGGATACCGGAGTTGTCACCTAAATAAATATCCAAGTTTACTGAAACTAGTCTAGTCTGGTCTGATCTGGTCTCGTCGGGAAAGAAAAAGAGGTGAGGAACGAAGTTAAGTATGTACCTTTGGCTAGGAAGCCAGTAGCGCCAGTAATGAGAATGGATTTGCCCACAAGAAACTCCATTAGCTTATTAGCTTGATAGCTGATGGGTTTGGGAGTAAAAGTTCGATTTGCAGCTAAAGAGGATAGGGAAGGAATTAAAGGAGGATCGTTAATTATATGGGTTGATGGATAAAATGGAAAGGGACGGAGTGGGGAATATATATACTCCCTCCGTCCCTTATAACTTTGCCAACTTTCCTTTTTTGGATGTCCCATTAACTTTGCCACTTTCCCATTTAAGTAAAGAATTTGTGGTTCCAGTTAATTTTCTCTCCTCTGCACAAACCTCAACCACACAGTTTTTACTTTATTAATCCCCGTGCCGGTCAAACTTGGCAAAGTTATTAGGGACAGAGGGAGTACCAATTACTTATAAGTGTATGTGAGTGTGTGGGCCGCGGGCATTCATATCTTCTGTGCTACACCTGTGAGACCTGGCTGCCCTCTTTATTGAATGTGTTCGGTCAGGTCAAACTTCACACTACCCGCCCCACACTATTGCTTCGTCAACGCTCATAATATGTCCTTCCAAATTCCTAGCTTGTCCCACCACAATTGAAGTAACAACTCTAAATCTATCTTTCACACCCTAACTTCCAATTTCCAAAGCATGTATATACGTTTCATATTTAAACCAAGACATGTAATAAATTATACTATCTCCATCTCATGCACTAACATTTGAGCATCAATAAGGATTTTTTTATTAACAATGTTTTTAGTCTCAGATCAGACCAGACTAGTCTAAACCAGACCACACTAGATCAGACCAGACAATACCAGATCAGACTTGGACAGTTAAAAAATACATATGAACCATACTTTACCAGACCATACTATATCAGACCAGACCAAACTAGACCAGAAAATTCCAATCCAAGTAAATAATGTGACTATTAAGAAAATGAAGTTTATATGGTTGATATATATTAAATTAATAAAGTTAGAATAAATTAGGAATGACATAGAAGCACACAACTTTATCAAATTTGACATGAGACCATCATAGTGAAACGGACTAAAAAAGGAAAATTGAGACATTTTAGCGGCAAGGAGAGACTTGAATACTTGTTTAAAATAATAATTATAACAAAAATATCTAATAAAGTTTATAAAACAAAGACAAAAGTCACTTTATTATTATTATTATTATTATTATTATTATTATTATTATTATTATTATTATTATTATTATTATTATTATTATTATTATTATTATTATTATTATTATTATTATTATTATTATTATTATTATTATTATTATTATTATTATTATTATTATTATTATTATTATTATTATTATTATTATTATTATTATTATTATTATTATTATTATTATTATTATTATTATTATTATTATTATTATTATTATTATTATTATTATTATTATTATTATTATTATTATTATTATTATTATTATTATTATTATTATTATTATTATTATTATTATTATTATTATTATTATTATTATTATTATTATTATTACTATTATTTAAAATTACATATTTGGCCAAAAGCAACCGCATAAGTATCACAAAAAACATCACATCAACATTTCTCAATAAACCTTGTGAAGAAATATCATCAATAATTGCTTCAAAAACAACATTTTCCAAAATGCTTAAAATTGTTAATCCATTCGTCTTTCTTGAGACATAGTTGATCACATATAATTGGGATGGGGTTTGGCAATTGGGAGGCAAGGGCTCCAAAAGACAATAATATAAATCGGTATTTTTGTAATTACAAGGTCTAAAACACCTTAAAGGCTAACAAGATGTTAAGAGACGTGCCTTTATTGTTTCAACAACAACTGTGTTGCTTTAAGGACCTACGACCAGTCCTACTTAAAATTAAATGATATTTTTTAAACTATACTTAGTGGCTCCAATCAAGACTTTTTACTTATATATGTCGTTAGATTTTCAAATAATCAACAAAAATTAAACATTAGACCTAATTAATGGACCATAAAAATAAAATAAAATGTTCAATAATCATATATATATATAATTGGTCCTAATTTTTTTTGCCTAGGCTAGTCGCTCCGTGGCCCCCCGTAGGGCCCGAGGTAGTTACTCGGAGTGTGTGTGTGTGCGCTATTCCTGTCCGGAAATTCCGGACAGGAGCCCCGTCCGGCCTCCTCCATTTGGGGGCCTTCTCGGTGGTATTTTTTGCTCCAATTTTTTGTGTATGTTCCTCATCAAGTCTAGTTCATCCATACCAAATTTGAGCAAAAAGTTCAATCAGAAAGGTCATCAAATCATTTTTGCAAGTTAACTGGTCCGGAAAATACATATTCCGGACCAGTTAACTTTCAAAAATCATTTGAGACCTTCCCGATTGAATTTTTTGCTGAAATGTTGTATGGAAGAACTAGACTTGATGAGGAACATACACAAAAAATGTGAGCAAAAAATACCACCGGGAAGGCCCTCAAATGGAGGAGGCCGGACGGGGTTCCTGTCCGGAAATTCCAGACAGGAATGTGTGTGTGTGTGTGTGTGTGTGTGTATGTATGTATGTATGTATGTATGTATGTATGTATGTATGTATGTATGTATGTATATGTATGTATGTTTTTTTTTTGCCCCAAAAAAACCACCATAAGAGGTGCGGTAAACGTCAGGAGGCATTTTACCGAGTTTTATAACATGAAACTAATAATACAATGCAAGATAGGGGGGTCAAGCCAAAACCCATCATGTGTGAGAAGCGGTAGCAAATTACAGTCTAATAAAAGGAGTCCTAGACAAATCATCTAAGTAAGAACTTCTGACACTCTGGGGTAGATCATTAAAGGATAAAAAGCATTTGAATGAGACATTATTTAAATCTAAATGGGTTATTTGGTGAGCGACCCCGTTTACCTCCCGAAGGGTGTGGGAGAAAGAAAGCCCACGGTTAATCATGGCCCATTGGAGGTGATCTGTCAGTCCACACCATTTGTTATGCTGAGCACCCTTTCGCACTGTTGCAATCGCTGCCATGGAGTCGGATTCAACCTGGAAAGCGGTGTACCCTTGCTCGATACACCAATTGACCGCAGTTTGGATAGGTTGGAGTTCAGCATCGAGGACGGACGACACACGCTGCTCAAAGTATAACGCTGCAATCAGAATCCCACGATAATCTCTTAAAATTGCCCCTCCTTTAGAAGTGTTATTGAAAAAAGAGGCGTCTTTGTTGAGTTTAAAGGAAGATATAGGTCTGGTCCATACAATGATTCGCGGCTTGGAGGGTTTGGGCCGAAGGAGAGGATGAATCAATTCAGATGACAGGAGGGTAGGTATGAGTTGAAATTTTGGAAGACTAAGGGACCAAATGTGGATGTAGAGGTTGATGGAAGATAGGATTTTTGGGAGGGAACATGGAGTAGGAGAGTTATCCCAGGTTAGTTCTGCATATTTTTTCCATATGTGCCAAAGGATAAAACCTGGGAAAACTTTGGTAAGGCTGTGTTTGGGGCTGTTGTCCTTAAACAACCACCAAGAGATGCACATTTGTGTGATTGTACAGTCATATATATGTGGGGATAGGAATCAAAAAAATGGTCATGTAGTGGATCCAAATGGGTTTGATGACCTGGCAGTGGAGAAAGATGTGGTTGGTGAGTGCTGAATGGTTTTTACAAAAAGGGCATATGGAGGGGTAGATGTAGAGGTTAAGTTTAGTTAAGGATTTCGGGAGAGGGAGAATTGAGCTAAAAAGCTTCCAGAGAAACAGTTTAATCTTCATATGTTGTTTTTTGTGCCAAATAAGGTTGAGGGAGAAGGTAGAAGGGTGTTTTGATCTAATCACATCAAAGGCGAATTTGATAGAGAACAACTCATCCCTGGAGGGGGACCAACGGAGAGTAAGGGTAGTATCCAGTGAGGTGAGGGTAGACGTTGTAGAGTGAATAGAGCAAATTCTCTTCCAAACCTGGGAGTCATATAGCCTAGGGATCATGTCGTTGTTTCTGTTGTAAGATTGGTTCATAAATGTAGACCAAAAGGAGGTGTTTGACTTCCATTTCCACCACAACTTTAACGTGAATGATTTTTCCACTTCTGTAAGTGATCTAATCTGCAATCCTCCCTCATTTGCAGGAAAGCATAAAGTATTCCAAGAAATCCAGTGTCTCTTGTCTGCACCTCCCCAAAAGAAATTGGCCACGGTTTTATGAATGATGGTAGTTACACTTTTGGGCAATACATCACATGCAAAGGTATGGATAGGAATGGAGGAGAGAACATGCTTAATCAGGACGAGCCTTCCCCCCCCCTGAGAAAGGTTCTTTTTAAACCAAGGGCTCAGTTATGCTTGGAAGTGGTGAATAATTTTTTTGCAATAACTCAGCCTGTTGATTCCGTGATGCAGGTGGACCCCAAGGTATAGGAGAAGAAGTGACCCTTTCTGCATATCAAGCAAGGATTCAGTAGCAAGGATTCTGCCTGGTGAGGAGGACCCCAAGATGAAAGTGCTATTGGAGAAGTTAATGGCCTGTCATGATGCAGCTTGGTAGGAAAGCAGGAAAGATTTAAAAGATGAGAGAGACTTGGCACTACCATTAATGAAGATGAGGAGGTCGTCTGCAAAGGGAAGGTGGGTAACAACCGGTGCCCCCCTGACTGTCCAGTATGGTTTGATAGAGCCGTTTCCAACCAGGTGATTCAAGCCTCTGGAAAATGCTTCTGAGGTGATGATGTAAAGGAAAGGGGGGAGGGGGTCACCCTGCTTAACTCCTCTATGGGGTTGAAAGAAACCAGAAGGGCTCCCATTGATAAGGATTGATATGAAGGTGGATCTAAGGTTGCGGAGGATGATATCTGTGAAGGTGGAGGAAAAACCGAACTTAAGCAGAACGAGTTGCAGAAATTCCCAAGAAAGAAGGTCAAATGCTTTGGTCATGTCTAATTTGATCAGAATGTTTGAGCCTCTGACCTTCTTTTTTAATGAGTGAACCATTTCTTGTGCTAGAAAATGTGGTCAGAGATTTCTTTGTTCCTCATAAAACCCCCCTGTTCTTTGGAGATGATCTTGGGTAGAATAAGAGACAGTCTGACAGAGAGAATTTTTGTACACACTTTACTAAAGAAGGTGGAGAGACTGATCGGTCTGAAGTCACTGAGGGACTCGGGGTTATCTT